ATAAAACGTATGATAAATAATATATTAAATTAGATCACATAACATCACCACTTCTCATCGTATAAACAACAATAATCGCAACAGAATACCAACAATATACATATTTACCGCATCCATACACAACTTCTTTATGCAATCGTATAATGTGACTCAATACTATGCAAATGCATGTGGTACCATTAGAGCAGAACTCTCATCTCAAAATAATTGCCAATAAATAGAGGCATCAATAAGGCATAAGCCTTCATCTTAATATTCGCCAATACAGGCTATCTTAACGAGCATCAGCTCCATCTTGGAATGCAATGTATGCGACACAATCATGAATGTAATGTCAACACCATAATTATCAACATATCAATCACAACATCATCGTTGGTCAGAAGCCTACATCTTAATAGCTGCCAATTATTAAAGGCATCTCAACATCATTTATCAATCATCATTCATCGCATAATTCATCAATATAATTCATCGCATAATTCATCAATATAATTCATCGCATAATTCATCAATATAATTCATCGCATAATTCATCAATATAATTCATCGCATAATTCATCAATATAATTCTTCAACATAATTCTACAGCAACTCAGCCACAACAACAGTACAATGACAAATCGACAATCCCTCAACGTTGGCCATCGGCCTACAACATGATAATTCTTATAATTAATTAATCATATAAGGCTTACCTCTAGTTAACAAACCTCTACATATTATCGTTCTGTAATACTACATCATTATCATCATTAATCTTACTGTTATGAATCAACCATCAATCTATAATTGTCTTATCCTTATCATTCTTCACAAAATCACCATAGCGATTTACGCAGGAGGCTAACTCTAGTTCTAAATTAGGTTACTAGGATTATCCTTCCTATTCTTCATTTTAATCCTTAAGAACGAAGTTCATCGCGTTAGCTATCCAATGCTTCAAACGACACCTCAAACGGAGTCTGGAAACTCAAGTTACAGTCTTTGGAAAACGAATCTCTCAAAAATTAGACTACATGAGTCGACGCATAACATCTTGAGTCGACACGTACTGAGCTCGACACGCTGCATGTATCGATGCGTACTCCCTTCGTATTGACTCATACTGAGTCTGCAACACTGCATGTATCGATACATGGTCCTATGTATCGACTCATCCTGAGTCTAGAAGCCTGCATGTATCGACGCATGGCTTCTTCGTATCAACTCATCCTGAGTCTAAAAGCCTTCATGCATCGACGCATGGCTTTTGGGGTCGACACATATTGTTCTGTCATGAATATTTTTGCGTTTTCACTGTGTTTTCACTATGGTTTCCATGCCTTAGGCCCTAAAAACATACTCTAATCATAGATAATCATCAATTATAATAATCCTATGTTTCTACATCAATTATACAGCCTTAGGGCATCATTATTCATCCTTGAATCATCGATTCTCATCAAACAACAACGTATACAATTCAATCGTAAACCAAACAATCTTTCACATCTAATCCCACATACCACTTATTATAAACCCTATTATAGAGTCAGAACCCCACCCTTACCTTGGATTGAAGGTTGCTCTATAACATTTCCGATTGAATTTCGTTCTGCCTCTTTTCCTCCTTTTCTGCAACTTTCACGTTCTCTTTCTCTTCTTCCAACCCTTATTTCATTCTTCTTCTTTTTCCTTATTATTTCTAAAACTAATATAATAACCCTATAATTCTCTTTATTCCTTAATGGGCTTAAGACTCCTACACTCCCCCCTTTTACTACCACTCCTATTCTTTAAAACAAGCCCACATCAAATAATATTATCATTCTAATATTATTCCATAACTTAATAGAATAAATAAATCCAATAACAACAACACATAAACTATCATCATAACACAACTTCACAAATATTCCAAAAATAATTTAATTAAATAATTAATTAAATTACGGGCGTTACAACCCCTCCCCCCCCCCCCCCCCCATTACAGCAACTTTGTTTAAAACAAAACATTATAATTCCTAAACTCTCTAAAACTCTTCTTCCTTAAATCAATTTTTTGTCAAAAAATCACCAGAAATCAACAAGCATTGGATAAATATAGCATTCTAACGCAATTAATCAAGCAAAATCAACATCAATCAATCAAGTAAATTGTTTTTCAAATTTTTGGAGGTTTATGTGATTTCTACTCAAATTAGTGAAATAGGTTTCTAAACGTGATATTATAGCTAGTTTCTATCATTAGGAGTCATTAGAAAATTGTTTGTAAACTTTATTTGACGATCAAAGCTTTGTTTTAGCACATTTGGGGATTGGGACGCTGAGTTGCATTTGTTCTGTTATCGTAGAGGAAATCAGAAGTATACTTCCGATTTTGGTTAGAACAAAATCAAAAGTATAATTTTGGTTTTTGTCTGCACATGTTTTACGCCCTGTTTTGCACTTTGGACCTTATGTTGACATTTCTTTCTTACTTCTACAGGAGATATGGATGAGAGACAATCACGTTTGAGGCACGGTAGGGTTACACAACATACTTCTATGCAGAGAGAGGGGAGTTAGGCAACTCAGCCTCCTACTGCCTCTGGACAGACCACACCCGATGCATCTCCTATTGCTTCAGCCTCTGGTGAGCCTGCTTCTATTCCTTCTACGTCGTCCTTCCACAACAGATGGGATTCTCCAGTTCATCCTTCCTCACCCCCGTCATTCCGTAGACGCATTTTCTCACCTAGGAGAGGCGGGATCCACGGCAAGTACACAACCGACACCTGAGGCTCAAGCACTGGAGATGACACCCCAGGCGGCACCTGAGGCCGTACCAGCCGCACCTGAGGCCGCACAAGCGGCACCTGAGGCTGCACCAGCTCAGCCTGTAGTTGCAGCCCCTCAAGCTTTTCCAGAAGGACCGTCTGGTTTATCAATTTTGCCTCTTTATTCCAACCATATTTCTAGACGTATCTGGGACGGAAAGGTGTGAATTTTAATTTTGGTATTTTTATTATGAATTTTGACTTGAATTTTATTATGCAGGAACGTGACACACTCAAGGTCATTAATCATGGGCAGAAGATCAGTAGACTTGTGCCACCTACTGAGCCATGGTTTAACGAGCTCTTACAACTTACAAGGTTGAAATATTTGGCCTTGTGTGGATATAACATGATCAATTGGGGTATGATCAACGCTTTTATTGAGAGATAGCACCATGAGACTTCGTCCTTTCATCTACCACATGGTGAGATGACGATTACACTCGACAACGTCGCGTGTCTGTTTCATATGCCGATCAGAGGTACTTTTTTGGATCATGAGAGGATCAACAAAGACGAGGCGTTGGATTTGTTGGTTTAGAGGTTGGGAATTACACCTGAGAGTAGCCTGTGGTTGCCACATCAGGTATAGCTATTTGGCTCAGGTGTTCACGGATGAGATTCGGCGTACACAAGAGGCTCGTGTTGATCCTGAGCAGGTTACTATTCACATAGGGTTTGCCATAAAAACATACCTTTTGTATCTTGTTGGCACACATATATTTGTGGACACCAGTGCCACCTACACCGACATCATGTACATCCGATATTTTACTGATTTTGAGATGGTCAGCCAGTAGAGCTGAGACGCTGCTTGCTTGGTTTACTTTTATACCAAGTTAGATGACGCCATTATTTGGGAGACGAAGTAGATGATCGACAACATGTCACTCATGACGGTATAATTTTTTTTTGTCTTTATGTCCTTTGTTAATTATTTTAATTTCGAAACTAACTGTTTAATTTTATTATTTCACGGTTGGATCTTACAACACTTTCCCCGCATCTTGGGTTGGTCACTTGCTACGGGTTACACTGAAGATAAGTCGTGTGCCTGTGCATACGATTCGCTCCGAAGGAACCAGGTGATATAGTCATTTCGAGTTTACATTGACCGCCTGGTGCATGAGGACATTCACTTCAGCTCATATGTCGACCATCGTGAAACGATACCGTTTGACGAGATTGTGTTGTTTACGGGATGGTTGACTTACGAGTCGCGCAAGACAGTGACTTATATGCCTAAGCGGGTGATGCGTCAGTTCGGGTACACAGACCATTCTCCGGGATCCAGCTGTATGTGCTCCCCCGACTGTGAAACAGAAGGAAATGGATGCTATTTTCGATGATTTTGAGAATCATATTGTTCCCGATAAGACCATAAGTACCGTAGCACCAAACGACTGGAGTTACGAGTATGAATAAATGATATAGTTCTTCAGGATATCCCATTCGTTGATATATTCTTCATGATTGTTTCAGAGAAGAATGTAGATCTCGTTATTTCTTCAAACTTCAATTAAATCCACAAGTGTGGGTCAATTTCAGTGTGGGTCAATTTCACAAATAATGAAAGTCAAACACAAGATTGATGGAAATTATTTAAAGGGAAAAAAGTGCTTAAAAACAAGATGAAAGAATGAACACATTCAACAAAGAAATGGGAAACAACAAGGTGTTTCTTCTAGCCATAATCATTAATTTGCAACCCAACTCGTGTTACAGCCATTTCACATTGGTTTGCCCCTAAAACTGGCTGAACATTTCATTTCCCAGGGACTGGCAATGGATCTTGCCTAGGTTTAAATCACCTCAAAAAGTTAAATAACTTTACAAATAATAATAAGATTGCATAAATGGACTACATATAAGAAAGAACACATTTAAAGAAATGGAATTTAAGGTCCAAAAAAACATAGGCAGGCATGCAAGATTACATTCATTCTGGACACAGTCTACTTAGAAATTTCGGCGTCCTGCATATTCAAAGTAAACAATTACAAGGTATAAAGGCAGGGATAATATCTCATCATCTGAAGATCCCACTTCTAGTTAAACCAAGAACAAATATTGGTAAAGAAAAACAGAAAACTGCAATTAAATATACATGAATTCTGCAGCTTCAGTATCTTCATTTGAAATGCTGATGTTTCACTCTTTTCTTTAATGTACTTGAACACACTTACTAAGTTCCTCAAATCATTCACTGGTGTCATTTCCCCAGACATTGTCCCAAGAACCACTTGGGGCAGTTTTTGCGCCCTCAATGTAGTTCATGTTTCCAGAAGGATGTTGTTGTTGTCCGTGAAATGGATGTCCATTTGGACCTTGCAGGTTAGCCTTCTTAGGCTTAGTTTTGACCCCGAGCAATCGCAACACAAATCTAGCTAGCTCTCCATATAACATGCCGGAGCGATCAAACAGCTGCAGCAAACACCAAGTGATCGTCTAAAATTAGAATAGCTAATAAATCGAAACGAATATCACACAATGTGAAATAAGTGCATTCATGTGAAATACTGAAATAGCAGATCCATCAAGCAGTATGTGCTTAAAATTTAAATTGGATTTCTTTGGTTACTTTCATATCTTTTGTTCAGAAAAGCAGGACAGAGTTGCTTTTGGTTTTGCCTAAAGATGCTGTTGTTCATCGTGCATGACGGAAATAGCCTTAAAATGTTAAAATCCAAACAAGTTAACAATTACAAATCATGTGTTGGCTACGACGTCACTTGTGCATCCATATAACTTCTTGATCCAATGATTCTCTTAAATTGATCCCACAAACCCCAATTAGAATTATACAATTTATATAAAGATGTTGTATCCAAAAACTATCCCTTTTTCATAATTTGACACCAGAAATTATGCTACCTGATAATATCCAACCGATAATAGTTTCACCAGATACTTTTAAGACAACTTTCCAATATGAAAAATTGATTTGTTAAATAAACTAAAAATCAAGCTCAGGGGCCTACATAACCTCATAAAATCGTCTTAGACTCCACATGTCGACTTGTAAGAGTTTACTTTATACAAAAACAACGGATAAAGTATTTGTCAAAGTATATAACACAATTTATTATGTGCATAGTAAATATTTAAAACTAAGTAAATCATAAATCAAATGATACTAATGAATTTGTAAGCAATCATTATATCAAATTGAGATAGGTTTACAACCAACACAAATGCACAAATCACAAGGTTCAAAATTACTAGCCAGTGAAGGTTGGCAGGGCTTGGCTCCCCTAGCTAGTGAGGGATCCAACTCGATAGAGCGACAATTTAAGAGTTGGGTTCCTTTACCTCGAGTTTGATAACCATAAAAACAGCTGGTAGGTATGGGAGATTTTATGAAAGAAAACGTAAGAAGGGGAGGGAGAGAGAATAGGACAAAGGTTGTTAGTAGTGGCACATGGGCTGGACAGCTGGCAACAGCTGAGTGGTAATAGAATCTAGGAGTGAGTCAATAAATGATTGAGCACTCAATCATTTGTGGTACGCAGAATTTAGTGGAGATTATACCTCCTAGGAAAGTACAGGCCTCTCTAAGTGCCTCTATCCTCTTTTATTTCCTCTGCATACTTGTTGCAGCCTTTCTGCACTTTTCTTTCTGCACTTTTTTTCTGCTAGCTTGTACAACTAGATCCCATATGAACTCTAGTTCTTTTCAATAAAAGTCAGAACTTTTCCTACTAGATTCTCTTATTTCTGTTTGCTGTACTTAAGATACTAAGTTGATTCGATCAACAGCCAAAATCAGTCCTTGTTTAAGCATCAGTGCTTCACCAAAGCAAAAAAAATTTCACAATTCAAAACACACAAAATATATATGACTTCATTTTTTAACTTTAATTTTGATCTTTAAACCATAGGAGGTGGGTACACAATTCGCGAAAAAACAAATCACAAGAGAATAATGAACATCAAACCTGGAGCATTGCGGTCATGAACAAATGGAAAGCCTGCGTGTTCTGGTCTATGAGTATTGATATCCGGCCAAAAAAATTAACCACACCTTGCATCTGTTGTTAAAGAGGAAAAAGGTTCAACATGTGCAATGCATATTTTTGGACAACAAATAACAAAAAATCAATATTCATATTAAAATAATCCAAAGGGGATAAAAAAAAGAGAGAAGCAGCGGCACACAACGGTAAGACCAATGAGAGTGCACAAAAATGTACCTAACTACAAATATACAATGTCCATGATCATATGCAACTTAACTACCTGGATACTTCTGTATACAAAAAGAAGCTTCATTACAGGCCTTTAATATGATTGAAGTTTCTATTGTGTACTGTCTCACGTGGCTCACAAGGCAATCTGAACTAATATCATATGAAATTTTGATTTTTGCTCAACAACATGCAATGACAAAATATATCGTGCTCAATACAGTTTAATTTGGAAAATTAAGAAAATTTGATCTAGTGCTGACTGACCATCACAAATATGACAGATGTCAGCGATAAATAATTATATGTCTCCAGTTAAACAAAATGGGACAAACATTGGCCATGGTACATGTTTATCAATAATCCCTATGGAAGAAAAACTAATTTCCGAAAGTATCATATGGCTCACCACACGCAGCATAGAAATCCAAAATCCTGGCGGGGATGGAGGTTCATTATACGGATTATTGGGATCTTGATCACCATAAGGACCAACTCCCATACCATAACCACCCATTTGACCCCCAAGGCCAGTGTTATACATTCCACCCCCTCCATACATCCCAGATGACCCATAAAGGCCTCCACCATATCCTCCTCCTCCTCTGTACATACTGTTCCCATACATTCCACCACCATACATTCCTCCAACTCCTCCTAACCCACCACCATAAGAAGATCCATACATTCCTCCAGACCCATATCCAGAATTATAATTCATGGAAGACCCATATCCTGCATATCATAAAAAATTAAAATTAAAATGCTTTTCTTGAGATAGGCAAACAATGAAATAGGCAAATAATGAAATAGCCATACTCACCGCCTAACGCGCCACCTCCGTAGGTTGTATTTCCGTAATTCTGCTCCCACGGTCTTGCGGGAACAGGTCTGGCGAGAGTACTCCGGTTGACAGCTGCATTTCTGTCAGTACTAGTAACAATCTCCCCAGGCTTTGCAGTCCCGGAAGCCTCAACGACATCACTTGTGCTTCCACCTGATGGCGGTTTAAACGGCGCCCCGGGGCCGGATGAAGAACCCGCCCGTTCCCAAGGTTTGGGTGGTGGATTACTTCCTGCAATTCAATTTTATTCACACAATAAAAACATTGCAAAAAAAATGTTCCATTTTCAATCTTGATGAAGATGAATTAGAAACGAATAATCAAAACATAATTGAAATTCAGCTACGATGATTGTAATTAATTGAAACGCAAGCCCTAACGGAGAATTGTGAAAATTGTGTAATCTATGATGAATTGATCGATGAAAAATAAAGGAGAAAAAGAAGGAACCTGATGATTGAGAATTGGAAGCCATTGATCAATGAATTATTGAAGAAGGGAGAAAATCATATGTAAGGAATTGTGAAAACCCTTTTTGAGGGATGGTTGGATATAGAACAAGAAGGGGGAAGAACAACGACAATTGCTCACGTCATCATCGATCACATTTTCTACACTCGGTTGATAGGTCCCACCAGCTGGCAATCTTGAACCAACATTTAATATTCACATCAATAAATAAATAAATAAAGAGAAAATATCATTTTTGTTCCCTTAAATTTATCTCGAGATTCATTTTAGTCTCTTATCTTAAAAAAGATTTAAAATGGTCTTTTAATTGTTCAAAAAGATCATGTTTGTCTTTTTCGTCTAGACCGTTAATCAAAGTCAATGGTAGCGTTTATGTGGCATATATGTGGTATTACATGTGTTTATATTTTTGTTCAGGTGGATTAAAGTATCTTAATACTAAAATAGAAAAGTGAATGGGTTAAAGTATTAGAACATATGTCCAACACTTTAAGCTAACTCTAGCGCAACCATTGTTGGTAACTCTGTTCTGCGAAGAAGCTGCGAGCGAAGCGAAGGCATATTCCGTTCTTGAAGGTGAAAGCGACCACAACACAGCTCATCATAGATAAGTTTCTGCAAAATTATAATTTTCATAGTTAGAGTTTTTTGAAATCAATCTTTTTAAAATATATGTTCTTCGTGTTTATTTAGGGCATAGTCTGAAATAGATGAATATCTGAACATTACAATACACCATATTGGTGAATTTGTTACTGAGGATATGAGTGTTTACGAAGGAGGTGAGATTGTCGATTTGAGAGTAGATGCTGATAAGTTGAGCTATTTTGAATTGATAGGTGCTATTAAAGAGCTAGGTTACGCAGACGTAAAGAATATATATCATAGGGATCCTACTGCTGGGATGAATTTGTTGGTTGATGACAATGGGGCATTAGAGATTGTTGATCTATATAAGATTCATCTTAGTGTTGATGTCTTTATTCAACACACGCTGTCACGGCCTGATTATGTTATTGAGACCAAAGTTGTGTTAGATGAGGTACCCCTTAATGAGATTGTTGATGAGGCAGAAGTTGTGCTTGAGGAGATGTTGAAGGAAACTGGTGTAAGGGAAGATGATGTTAGGGAAGGTGATGTTATGGAAGATGATGTTAATATGGATGATATTAGGGAAGATGGTGTTAGGGAAGATGATTTTAAGGAAGATGGTGTTCATGCAGTAGGAACTGATGATAAAGGCCAAATGGTTGATGAGGTTGAAAAAGATGATATTGGATATAGGACTGGTGAGGTTGATTATGCTGTAAGACTGACTGATGATGATGATAGTTCTGATGATAGCACCTTCAATTATGATAGTGCAATGGAGGTAGTATTTGATGATGACTCTGATGAGTATGACACTAAATTGGACGAGGAAGAGGGTAACCTAATTGACTATGAAGTTGATGATAAACAGGTGGAAAGCAAAAAAGGTAAAGAAAAGTGTGAAGCAAACAAATAAGATATCAAAGGAAGTGATAATGAAAGTGATGATCTAGGAAGCGACTGTGATAGTGATGATAGCAGTAGAGTTAAGAGAAATAAGTATCCAATTTTCAAGCTTCAAAGGATATGTCCAATTACAAATGGAAAATGGGAACCTACTTTAGTACAACAAAAAATTTCAAGGAAGCTATTACCTCTTACGCAGTCCAATCTGGCAGAAATTTAAAGTTCATTAAAAATGACAAGATCAGAATTAGGGTTAGGTGTAAGGAAGGATGTGAATGGGAATTTTATTACGCTAAATTGTCTACTGAGGATTCTTGGTAACTAAGAAAGGTAGTAGACACTCATAGTTCAGTAGAGAATATAATGTGGAGTTATTTAAGACTAAATGATTGAGCAAGAGGTTGCAGAAGAAGATGGTGGTGTTCAGAAATTACATTTCAAAAGGATATACATATGCTTGACGGTTTGTAAGGAAAGCTTTAAGTTAAGTAGACATTTCATTGAACTTGATGGTTGTTTTTTGAAAGGCCTTTGTGGGGGTCAAATACTTGCAGCCATAGGCAGAGATCTCAATGATCAAATGCTACCAATAGCATATGCAGTGGTGGAGAGTGAAAACAAGGATAGCTGGACATGGTTCTTAGAGTTGCTTATTGATGACCTCAGCCAGCTCAAGCATCTCAGTCAGCTCAAGCATCTCATCCAGCTTAAGCATCTCAGTCAGCTCAAGCATTTCGTCCAGCTCAAGCATCACAGCCAGCTCAAGCATCTCAGCCAACTACTTCTCAAGCATCCCAACATGTGTGTAATACGGTGGGAGAACTGATTTTTAGTTTTTTTGTTTTATCGCAAATGTTGTGGTTAGCAAGAGTCACCACCGACTTTTCTTTTATTCAATAAAGAAAAGGGTGAAAAGAACAGGAAAGACTGAGAATTTTTCTAAGTAAGAGGGGTAGGTTATGAAAAGGGAAGGTGTTAACACCCTTTTCATCTGTAGTTATCTACGGACTCTTAATCGCTAGCTCACTTTTGAAAATGCTTTGTGAATGTGTGTGTTTGAAAATATTTTGAAAATTCCTAAGTGCGGTAAACTTTGTAATGATTCATGTATCGTTGAGAATGCATACAAAGTGTTTGTTTTGAAAATATTTTAGAAATGAAGTATTTTGTGTGAAAAATTTTTCTTTATTGCTTTATTGTATTTTTCGTATATATTGCATTATATTGTTACTACTCACATATTCTGGATATGCTGTGATGTTGGGTTGGGTGATTACATTTGATAAGTTCTATACCTGTACTTGGGTTACACCTAGGATTAGGACGGGCGGTATAGTCATGCTTACTTTGAGGGAGTAATCCCGAAGAAGGAGGCATGAAAATTCCCCACTCAGTGGAGGTCCCCTTGAATGTAGTGTTGTTTACCGAGTAATTGGGAAGACATTGTTGCTTTCGACCTGGGAACCAGAGATGCTGAGATTCGTAGAACCATCAACCTATCTTGTCCTTTATAGGTGTAGTGCAGAGACTATAACAGAGTAATCCGAAAATAGTTATCACACGATGTTGCACTCAAACGAGTTTTTCTTGCGAATTTTACTGATTATCGAGTAATTGGGACGTTGGTAATATCCAAAGGAAGAGCATAGAATCTGAGGTTTCCTTAGAACCTTGTCAGGAAGGTGATGAACCCCTAGTACATACCTTATGGGTGGTTACTTTGACTCCATGCCTGTAACGTCAGATTTTTTATCCTGTTACTTTCAATTTATGCAGAGGACTACACAGCGGTTATCCAGAATATGTGGAGCTGAAACTTCTTGCCATAGCATACCATGACATCATTCCATCATGTATATGCATCTCATATCTAAGGAATTTCAAAGACACGTCTCGTTGGTCAAGCTTTTCAAAAATGAAAACAAATTTTTTAAAAGATAGACGACTCTTTGAATTTCCTTGGAAATGATAATAAAACATTCATTCATACTATCATGCATTCATTATTCACAACAAAAACTTATTGGGGTCTCTTTTCCATCAGACTTCAATAAACAGAAAAGACGACTTCTCCACATCCCTACCGTACAAGAAGCAATCAGCGAAGACTTATGGATCTTTTTGAAGAGAATCAGAATGCTCTCCGCCGAGATATGGACACCATGGGAACTCGCATGGATCAGCTTATGGAAACCCTTCATGATGTTATCAAGGGTCAAGAAGAGCTACATCAAAGTGTTTCCAAGCTTGCTACTGCTGCTCCCTCCACTTCTGCTGATGGAAGGAATGATAACGCAAATGTTGAGACCCCACTGGAGCTCCTCGGAATGATGTTGATGATCATCATGACGTCATTGATCTAGATGAACCCCACGTGAATCTTGCCGCTAGAGTTGCTGAAACTGCAAAAATGTACCATGCTCTAGAAGAGCGTCTCAAAGCCATGGAGGGTATCAAGACTTCTGTATTCCATACTGTTGCAATGTGTCTCGTGCGTGGGGTAGTTATCCCTCCCAAGTTCAAGGTTCCTGATTTTGATAAATACAAAGGCACCTCCTTCCCAGAGACTCATATCCGTTCCTACTGTCGCAAGATGGAAGCCTATGCTGAAAATGAACCGTTACTTATGCATTTCTTCCAAGATAGCTTGACCGAGGCACCGTTGGACTGGTATATGCAACTAGAAATAACTCATGTCAGTACTTGGGGAGAACTTGCTGACGCCTTTTTGAAACATTATCATTATAATACTGTCATGACTTCTATTCGTACTCAACTTCAAGGGATGATACATAAATTTGAAGAGTCGTTCAAAGAGTACGCCCAAAGGTGGCGTGAACTGGCTGCAAGGGTCCAACCTCCTATCTTGGATTATGAACTAATTTATTTATTTATGGGTACTTTACGAGGTCCTTATCTCCAACACATGCTCATCAGTACCTCTACTTCTTTCTCTGATATGGTCATTATTAGGGAACATGTTGAAACTTGTATTAAGGCTGGAATGATCCAAGGTGTCCCTAACAATACCATTAACAATATTGGCGTTGGTAGAAAGTCGTTTTCTGGTTTCGTTAAGAAGAAAGAAGGTGAGACTAGTGTTGTCACCATCAACCAAGGAAAAGCTCATGCATATCCTCAAGTTCGATTTTCGTATTTCCTAACACCTGCTGCAATTCCTAATCAATATGTTCCTCAAGTGTATGCTGCTACAATTCCAGCACCCAGGATGGACCAACAACGACCTTTCACTCCTCAACCACAGTATCTTCCACAACAAAAATTTGCACCACCTCCAACTTATCAACAACAGAATCAGCAACCTCGAGGCCCGAGAGCTCCACAAAGACAAAGAGCTCCTGAAAGAAGATTTAATCATATTCCTATGTCTTATGCTCATATTCTCCCTCAATTACTTACTAATCAGTTGGTTCAACTACGTGAACTTGGTCCACCACCTAATCCTCTCCCCAGGGGGTATGACATCAATGCTCATTATGAATTTCA